GCAATCACCAGCTGTCCTGCCCAGATAGTCTTCACATCCTGATGCATGGTGGTGTCAGACCCTAAAAGTGGCAAGGATGTGCTCCGGTAAATATTTTGATTCAAGCCCATCATGGAGTGTATACAAACATCATGCTTGGACCTGCAACTTCCATTGCCTGTCTGATCTAAAAACGGCATTTATTTTTAGAGCCAAGAGTCCAAAGACAAGTGAGGAGGAAAGCGTGGGATCCCAGAAAAAAATAAATAAATTTGAAAATTCCCAGGAGTAGACCAAAATGAAAGGAAGCACTGTGTTCATGTCTGCCTGTGTGTGAGTGCATGCATGCCTGTATTTTATTTATTTATTTTTTAATCATGCATCTATTCAGGTCTCTGGTGAGGCTTTCGCGCTTGCTTACACCAGCAAAACCTTTCAGCAGCATCTGCAGCTGCATTCACGCTTCACAGGTATGCCGCGGGCTCTTCACACAGCTGCCTCCGGCTTCAGGTGCGCTTTCGCTTCAGTACCCCTCAGCACTGCCACCGCTCGCTACCTCCTGTGTCGTTGACGGCAGCACAAACACAGACCCGGGCTGATAATAGTCTAATTTCACTACAAGTACCCTGTTTTTCACCTTCTCGCCGCCTTACCTTGGCTGTGCTTCCTGTCAGTCCATGCGCATGCAGGAATTTTTAAAATCACATTTTTCCTCACTTCACATTAAAAAAAAAAAAATAATAAAGATAATACATTTCTTACTTTTATGTTTTTAGCCCACAGCTTCTTGTACTTCGTCCGGGATTGCTCGAACATTAGCTGGAAAATCCCTCAGTAGCCATTGTTGCGCAATGAGATGAAACGATTTGCCTTCCCATAAACGACTGTGCCATCGAGATCTTTCGGCAACTCTACTTATACGAACTGAGGACAGCCTGTATCACACGGGCAGCCTATAAGGTTATTGCAGTGTGCTCACATAAATGTGTATAATTGAGACTGAAACAATGAATTGAATCAGTTGAATAATTTGATTCCAAAAAATATTGGAAGCAAAATATCTGCAGTGATCATTTACCTCCCACACAGATTGTTACTGCAGACTAACGCACCATTGTGTGTAGAAATAAACTGGTACAATGGGCATAACAGACCGGACAAATTTGGGAATCGTGTCACCCCTAAAAAGATCTTAAAATACAATAGAGGGATGTAATTGGAGATAGAATTTCTAATCTGCCAATTGTTTTGTTGAGTAGCTGATGAATTGGAGATTCATTTTATATATATATATATATATATGGACAGAGAGAGAGAGAGAGAGAGAGAGTGAGAGAGAGAGAGAGAGAGAGAGAGAGAGAGAGAGTTTTGTTTTGTGTCTATCCATTTAA